TGGGTCGGATTAAACTCCTTTGCGGGCCGGATCCGGCCCGCGGGCCGTATGTTTGACACCACTGTGCTAGACTAACTGCTCTGAAGACTGCATTAAATATTACTTCAAACATGATTCAACGTACACCGTTACTTCAATGGTACATAATTATCATTGCGTTGCTGATGGTGGAGTGGTCCACTTGACTGACTTGTGTGCAGGCAGCGTGGGATCGGTTACCACTCAGCGACAGTGTGGATGTGGGTGTGAATGGTTGTTTGTCTCTACATGTGCCCTGCGACTGACTGGCGACCAGTTTCGGGTGTAGTCTGCCTTCCGCCCGAAATCAGTTGAGATAGGCTCCAGCGATTCCCCGCGACCCTGTTCAAGATTAGCGGTGTTGAAAATGGATAGCTAATTATCATAGCCACTTACAAGATGTGTGATGTAGCTTGTTCATCTTTAGAAGCAATGACAAAGAGCTACATGAACCAAAATAGCGAGCGTATGCCTCCACTATCACACGTTGACATTGTGGAACTCATCAATATACAATCATACCGATCATCTGAAGCAAATCTGAATTATTTAGCTAAATAACGTCACACGTTTTATCAAAACAAAAATCATAAATACATTATTTGTTACTCTACTGTAACTGTCACTCTGAGAAACCAATCAAGTGATGGAAAAATGCTGTTCTATCAGCAAACGTTTCTAAAATTTCATTGAAAATACTTTGCATCCCCAACAAGTGCTTTTTCAATACTAAACGTTTTCCTCTGCATGCTGCATTGCTGTCACCCATGCAGGAGGGGGAGCTGCTGCGTTATGTTTACAGTTTTGAGCCTGACTTCAAAAGTCGGTGCTCATTAACCTCATCTATTTTTTTCAGGCATACAATAAATAACTCACAAATTGTATTTATTTTGTTTAGCCGTTTATCTTAACGTAATCCATTCCGTATTTTAACTTGTTTTCATTTGTAATTTTTTTGACAAATACATGATGTGACACACGTGATACAGATTCCTTCTTGCTGCAAGTATATAAAATGACCAGGTAAAACCAAAGAATTTTGTGTCGCCACAGCACCTTCATCCGCAATCAATGCGCTTTGTCTTCATGCAGTGATTCAAACACTGAGCGTGCTTGAGTTTGGCTGCAAACTTCTCCAGAAGGAAATCTTGGCTCTCCTGTGACTTGCTAAGGAACAATGAAGGGTTTGGCAGGTCACTGTGACCTAGCAGAAACAAGAGGACATCCTAGAAATTAATCAGTTACTAAAACCCTCCAAAATAATTACAGGAAAGTGAATGCCTGAAATAGTTTAACCGCTCAATGGTTTACATTTTGAATCTAACACATAAATGGTACAAATATTACATTATTGCACTCAATGATGCTTATTGCATTGTTTTATATTATGGGTATCCTAAACATTCCTTCGTCAGCTTCCCTTGGAAATGATTGTAATTTTTTAATGATGGAGACACTGCTAGTGTAGTATAGCATATTCGTACAAATTTTCATATTTCCGCTTTAGTTGAGATTTGTAACATCTTTAATGTATTTCTTGAGGCAGATGCAGGTGTGTTACTATAGCCAATACGAGTCGGTGTATTTCCATGATATCAAACTGTCAATGACGGTGTATACTGTATCTGATCTGTCCCTTTTTGCTGCAGTTACATTGACAAATACACATAACATTGTAAAGTTATCAACATGTGAAAGAGGCCAGATTACAGTCTGACTATCCAAATCTATTAGCTTGTTTCTATTTATGTTGCATATCTGAATTGTGTCATTTGATAGCGAGAAGAAAAAAAAAGCCGGTCAGTGATTCACAGGAAACCACAAAAAGTTGAGCATTTTTCTGTTGATACTGTTTTTGTGGTGGTAAAAAAACACAGTTTTTTCTGAACACCACATCATATACTGTATCTAAAAATTTTAATTACCACGTCCTCGTATGCCCTGTGAAGCTCTTTGCCACAGATGACAATAAAGCTTAGAGTTTCCAACAAGCTTTTTGTCTCCCTGTAGCGGCTTGCAGCATGTTTTTAAATGGGCCGTACAGATGGAGGAAGTTTTTATCTTCTTCCTCCTCACGGTCAGGCTGACCTCTCGCCCAGATGTTCAAACTCGAAGTGACCCTGATTGACCGCAACACACAAACACTGAGGAGTAGTCAAAATCCATCACTATTTTAGGGTCATTGGCCGAGAGTCACTTTTGTTTTATTTACTCAAAGTAGCGTGCCGTCAGGGCCTAAAAGGCCCTCTTCTGCAGGCGCGAACACTATCAGAAACACAGACCTACATTTATGACTTCAATTAAGTGGACAAAATGTATTTCCAACTGTATTTTGTCTTCATTTCATTGTGTATGTTTTGGCCGCGCGGCTTCCAGTGCCCTGTAGATTCTTTTTTTTTTGGGGGGGGGGGGTCCAATCAGATTTCCACTTCAATGTGTTGCCATGCACGTATTAGTTGGTCCAACACCTTCAGTACCTCGGCTACAGGCGCTGACCATACACACGGCACTGAAATAACTTGCTCTTCTTTTAGCCAATCAGATTGTAGATTCCGCTGCCGAACGCCATCCTGCAGGCCCCATGATGAGTCAGTTTTTCTCTATCATTGAGTCAGCAACTATCGCTTCTGATTCATTGTGTGCGGCCAAAGCGGGAT